CTGGCTTTGGACTCTTCTCCTCCTCCACCTCCTCCTCCTCCTCCTCCCGAGCCTCCGCCGCCTCCTCCTCTTCCTCTCCGCGCCTTTGCTCCGCTCCCGGCCTCCCGAAGCAGATCCAGGCGGCGGCAGAGGCGGAGGCGGCGGGAGCAAAGAGCGCGGCTCCCAGGGCTGAAGCCGCCACCACCACCACCGCTGCCTGCGCTCGGAGCCGGGCAGCCGCTGGACGCACTGCGCGCAGATCGGGAGTGGGAGCCTAGGAGGCGAGGGGCTCGCCGGGGCGGGCGGGCGCGCTGGCCATGCTCCTGGACGCGGGGCCGCAGTTCCCGGCCATCGGGGTGGGCAGCTTCGCGCGCCACCATCACCACTCCGCAGCAGCGGCGGCGGCGGCGGCCGCCGAAATGCAGGACCGCGAACTGAGCCTGGCGGCGGCGCAGAACGGCTTCGTGGACTCAGCGGCCGCACACATGGGCGCCTTCAAGCTCAACCCGGGCGCGCACGAGCTGTCTCCGGGCCAGAGCTCGGCGTTCACGTCGCAGGGCCCTGGCGCCTACCCTGGCTCCGCTGCGGCAGCTGCCGCTGCTGCCGCACTCGGGCCCCATGCCGCGCACGTCGGCTCCTACTCTGGGCCGCCCTTCAACTCCACGCGGGACTTCTTGTTCCGTAGCCGCGGTTTCGGGGACTCGGCACCGGGCGGCGGGCAGCACGGGCTGTTCGGGCCGGGAGCAGGCGGCCTGCACCACGCGCACTCAGACGCGCAGGGCCACCTCCTCTTCCCTGGCCTCCCTGAGCAGCACGGGCCGCACGGCTCACAGAATGTGCTCAACGGGCAAATGCGCCTCGGGCTGCCCGGCGAGGTGTTCGGGCGATCGGAGCAGTACCGCCAGGTGGCCAGCCCGCGGACCGACCCCTACTCGGCGGCGCAGCTCCACAACCAGTACGGCCCAATGAATATGAACATGGGTATGAACATGGCAGCAGCCGCGGCCCACCATCACCACCACCACCACCACCCTGGTGCCTTTTTCCGCTACATGCGGCAGCAGTGCATCAAGCAGGAGCTCATTTGCAAATGGATCGACCCCGAGCAGCTGAGCAACCCGAAGAAGAGCTGCAACAAAACTTTTAGCACCATGCACGAGCTGGTGACCCACGTCTCCGTGGAGCACGTCGGCGGCCCAGAGCAAAGCAACCACGTCTGCTTCTGGGAGGAGTGTCCGCGCGAGGGCAAGCCCTTCAAGGCCAAATACAAACTGGTCAATCACATCCGCGTGCACACAGGCGAGAAACCCTTCCCTTGCCCCTTCCCGGGCTGCGGCAAGGTCTTCGCGCGCTCGGAGAACCTTAAGATACACAAAAGGACCCACACAGGTAACCGCGGGCCGGGACAGGGATGGGGCACGGAGTTGGGAGAGGCCGTAATTGGTTTCCTGAGAGAAACGCACCGACAGCACGCCCCTGCCCTGGGACGGGAGATGTTTTTGTGTGTGTGCGAGAGAGCCAGCGGCTTGTTTTTGTTGGAGAACGAAATATTACTGGGCTGGGTTTTTCCATGTGCGGAAATTGAGTTTTAAATAACCAGTGTAACATCAAATGTATGATTTGGGTGATGCAATCCCTTCGTTTGCTCAGCCCGGTTAATAATTTCCGTTCTAAGTAGAGCGCACAAAATAAAACTCTCCAACTCGGTGCCCGGGAATGGAGCCTAGAGAGGATTTGCCAGCTTGTCTGAATATGCTTTTCTGCTCCGGCTGTGTGTCTGTGTTTGAGTGGCTTGTGTGTTTTCCCACTTCTTTTACTCGGTGTCCAAACGTCCTTCCCGGAACTGTTCCCCATTAAATGAATCTGGTGTGAGCCGAAGCAGTAAAGCATCTCGTTTTTAAAGCCCATCTCGGGGTGGGTCGCATGACTTTACGGTGGGTTCGCAGTGGTTTGTGAAATTCTCTAATGAGCACCAGAGGGTTTGCGATTTCAAACTAGGACCTACAACCTGGTCATCGAGTGCCCGGGGCAGCACGACCCCGAGGCGCAATTGCGTGACAAGAGAGAGCCGCAAAAGAACACGCCGCTCGCTTCATAGATTATTCATCTATAACCAGGTCCCAGCCAAAGTCGTGCCAGACGATTTTCTAAAAGAAAGCCAAATGTTTTAGCAACTTCCCCCGTCAATATTTACTCCAAAGTGGGGATGCGCCAGCGGCCTATTGTTCTCTTCCGGGAAGGGAGGGAGGTGAGGTGCGAGACAAGCTTTTAACAAGGTGTAAAATTTGAGAAATTTATTTGCATGAAATGCTTGCTTTCGAGTCCTGTGTCTGAGCGGATGTCTTTAAAAAACAATTTAGGTGCTAATGGAATTTAACGTTAAATGGTTCCCTTTCCAAGTGGAACAATGTTTGAGTTCTCACACCTCTAAATGACTCCACGCATTTGGAATTCTGGCAACAGGATGCTGGAGCCGCCAGAAAATTAAACAGGGAGGTTTTGAAAGCCTTTGCTGACGTTCCCACCCCTCAATGCTTAGTGTGTGCCTCTGCAATCGTTAGATGCTGCCTTATTCCTAATATTTACCTTTTTCCCGACTTATTTTTTTAAACTGAGAATGAGACTAGAATTACAACTAATTTAATTTGCAGAATTTTGGATGAAAAATACTGGCTCAGTCACTATCCACAGCCCGGTCTCCAGACAACACACAGCAACTCCAAATCTAATTGCTTACTGGCCCCAGAAAGAAACCGACAGCAGCCCAGCAGCCTGTGTGATTTTGATAATGCCCCAAATATTTTGTCATAATAACAGCTTATCCATGGCGAGACTAACTTGTTGGATGCTGCGAATCCAAGAAACCCCATAGAAAGGCGGGCAAGGCCAGGTGCTACCCCAAATTCGTTATAAACTTGAGGAAATGGGCTTCAGTCGAAGAAAAGTAAAATATAAAATAAATAAGCAGGATTGTCAGCTGCGAAGGCCGTTAATTTTATCTTAGTTCTGCCACAGAGGGGACCCGACCTGTTTAAGGGACCTTGGTCCTTCTTGCCCTTCCTACTTCCTCAACGAGGCCTTGCCCCCTCGGGGGGCTGGCATGGTGGAGCGGGTGGGGGGGCTCGATGTCCACAGCAAGCGCGGTTTGCCGTCCACAGGGGAGAAGCCGTTCCAGTGTGAGTTTGAGGGCTGTGACCGGCGCTTCGCCAACAGCAGCGACAGGAAGAAGCACATGCATGTCCACACCTCCGATAAGCCCTATCTGTGCAAGATGTGCGACAAGTCGTACACGCACCCCAGTTCACTGCGGAAACACATGAAGGTACCACCGGGGTGGCCGGGAGAAGGGCAACCAGCCCGGACGATTTCAGCTGGCCTGAGAAAGCCAGGGTTCCCCGGGGCCAGGGCGGCAGGGTCATTTCTGGGAATGCTCCTCCGGGAGCCTGGCCCCACAGCAGCTGCACTCACACCCAGTCCCCTTTGGTCTCCCCTCCCGACTTTTGTCTTGCAGGTCCATGAGTCCTCCCCGCAGGGCTCTGAGTCCTCTCCAGCTGCCAGCTCCGGCTACGAGTCATCCACGCCTCCAGGGCTAGTGTCCCCCAGCACTGAGCCCCAGAGCAGCTCCAACCTCTCCCCGGCGGCGGCAGCTGCAGCGGCGGCTGCT